AACCACCCTAAAGCAACCAAATTAACTCCACCTCAGCCATTAGTTGACCCCTAAGGCTGAGCCAAAACCTATCTAACCACCTAAAATAAACCATGGACCAAAGGTCCCCCAAATTAAGGGATCTTATTCTTAAAAATACACATGCTTAAGATATCCTTGCCAAATTAAAACACATTTGCATTAAACTGTTTTGATGGATTCCTCTGGATGCCTTGAGCACCTAGCCACCTTCCCCTGGCCAGCTGGCTAGCCTAGTGGCATGAATATGACCAAACCGAGAGCCACCCCCATGCAGCTTCACCCAAATCAAACCTAGAGGCCAGCTCAACCAAATTAAATTGTAGAGCTCCTCTGCCCTCCACCTAAGCACCACATTACACCCTCTAATTGGCCATGACAGTTACTCCTTTGCCATTTTTATGAAAAGAACTCCCACAACCATGGTAATAAGTGCTGAAAATTTCTCAGAGAGACCTCCCCAAATTGACCACAGAGCTTCTCTATGATCCCCTCAGTGCATCCCAACTACTTTCCCTCACGAATGTCCACTGCCGGAGTTCAATTTTGAGCTTGAAACCTTGCCCGAAACCAGGACAGAGCTCATTACACCTCCACACTCCACCAAACTCAAATTAACTCTACCCACACCTTCACAATAGTGAAAGAAGCCAAAGCCCCATAAAATCCCTCTTCCACAGAGTCTCTATCATAGCTCTAGACCAACACCCAAATTCGGCCATGATCGAATTCCTACTTAGGCCTCACACCATAGCAAGAGGCTTAATCCCTAACCTCTTTGGACCCTCACAAACGTGCCAAGTCCCTCTGATTGAAGCTTCACTTCTCAGAGCAAAGGTATAAAGCCTATTTTGATTCTACATTTGATTAGGCTTAATTTAATTGCATGATTACCGTATGGATGTGTTAGTCTCACTTAGACGAGTCCATAGGATCAAACCCGGAGTGATTTGGTTGAGTCTAGACTGAGATCTTAGGGTTTTAGGGTAGATGGTCACGAGATGGTCATGGGATCATTCTATTGGGGACGATGACGGGGAGCCGTTTGATCAAGTGTGTATCAAATGAATGGCCAAGATGAAGCCAGACAGCGCTTCTTTACAAAAAATAAAAAATAGTGGGCCGGGAGGCTGCTAGCGTGGACGGCGGCGTCAAATGGGAGTGCGCCGTGTGGAGCCGCCGTAGGTTGACAAGGTGCCACATGGATAAGTAGAAAATTAGGGCTTTTTCTATTTATTTAAAATCCCTTAACTTAAAAAATCTATAACTTTGTTTAGAAAAATCACAAAAGTAAAATAAAAATACCCTCTTGCTTAATGAACAAATGAAAATAATGTAGAAATATATTTAAGGCCATGTGATGCATATTTTATTTTTAATTGATTAAATACTGATTTGAATCTTTTGATTCTCCATGCATGTAGAATTATCATCATAACTTGAATTTTTGGCATATTGTAGCCTCTAACAGGGGGAACATCCTCTGATTTTTCCAAAGATAGAGGAGGTTCGTAGACAAAGATCCATATTTTTCAAGTTTTTTGCACATTATTTCCTTAAATTAATCATAATAACTAGCATGTTGATTAAAAAATTCCAAAAAAATTTTGAAAGGTCCACATGACCAGAGGAGCTTTTGAAAATAATTTCATGG